TCCAGCAAATTTCGTGAATTTAGGAACTTTCAAGCCCCTGGGTAATTCTGTTTGCAAAATATAATCCACAATAGGAGATGTGTAATTTGGCCTCCTAAATCCTGGATTTAAACCATTCTGGGCCATTATTCTTTCAATCATGGTGGTGAGGTTATTTTCTGCCACTAAATTGTCATTCCTAATTCTATGAACAATTTCGTCTGCATTTTGGTCCCTATTCACCATCATTATAGGTCTAGGCTGTTCATTCTGAACTTCCTGAATTCCCTGATCTCTTAATCTCACCCCTATATTTCTTTCTTCGACCACTTGCACAGGGGGTCGAATTTGTTCGATTATGGGTTCTTCATTTCGAATTTCCACTGGGTTTTGCCTACGCCTTGCAGGCGCATTAGGGGCACCAAAAAAAATCTGCTATTCTAGCCATCTGGGCTTCATTTTCTTGGTTTGTTCTATTTACATTCTGGAACAGGGGATTGAAAATAGCATTCATTTCGCGGGCTAGGATGCCTACCATATCACGATTGCTATCTGGAACTTTGTACCCAAATGGTTCATTCCTGAACCAGATCCTTGGAGTGGGGACGAAGTTGTTGCATTATGTAACCCTGCCATAAACGAAGTTGGCATTCCATACTGAGGATTTCTGGGTCTCAAAGGTTCGAAACCTGGAGGCCTAGGGGGGTCGAATACTGTTGATTCCCTATGTGTGGCACAGTTTGTACTAAAGACACGTTTGATGGCATTTCTAATGTACTTACTGGGATCGTATTCGAACTGCCAACAAGGATGGCATTGGAGGCATCAATCGAACTTGAAACGATTGTTGCAGCCCCCTGTGAGGGATTATGTACCCCATCTTGGTTGGTTGCATTAACCATTATTTTGATACGTTGTTTTCTGGGTATATGTGGATTGTTATTCTTAATTTTGCCGCTTCGAAGGTTCATGTACCGAAACGCGCTTCACACTCAGAAAATCCTAAAACTTCTTTTTGTTATGACACTCCCACTGGGCGTGCCAATTTGTTTACAATGATTTCTAGTAAACAACCGCTAGTCTTCCAATTTACTAATTATTATTGGTTACTTGCAGGATCGACTAGATTGATCCTAGAACACATGTGTCATAACTCATTTCCATGTTCATATCTATTATATTGATAAACTTATATTGTATGTTAACTTTGAATACGAGATTCTTAGGAAAGATTTCTAAAATGGTCTATAGGAATAAACTAACTGAATGTAGGCAGGAAAGGCTTCGAATTAGACTTGGCTTGAATGTAAAGATAAGTGTTTGACTAAAAGGATAAAGTAGAAGTAAAGTTTATGACGAAGTGACTGTGTTTAAAGGCAAGTAAAACAAAGAAATGCAAGGAAATCGAAGGATTTAAAGGGCAGTTCGAAGTACTGTAATGGCGAACTAAATATAACAAGACTTGTATTGAAATTGTAAAAAAGTAATGATGTTCAGGACGTACATTGTATCTTCTGACTCGTTTTCCTTAATTCACGGAAGTTTGAGTATTTTGAGATCTTTTAGTACATAAAAGTGAACATCTTAAATCTAACATAAGAACACCTATTTATAGTGTCTTGACCCTAACGGCCCTATTCTAAAATCACGCCACGTTCGAAGCATGCAAGCTTCCTATGTTTGCTGACTTCCACGCGTCTTCTAGAATGGCGCTCTTTATTTGAAATTCGAAATTTGTACCAATCGAAGCATCTTGCGAAATCTGTACCAATCGAAGCATCTTGTTTCTTTGTTGCTTTCGAAATAACCCAATTACCTGGACCGTTTCCAACTTCTGGCACCCTTACATAAATGAGCACTTTTATAATTCGAACACTAAAACAAGTCCAAATCGAAATCCGCTGGAAATTGAATAATCCTTTAGCATAATGACTCCATATCTCCCACCAATATCCAATATTGATATTAATCTCCTTAGGTACTTTATTCGAAATATTATTTTGATAGTAGTTTCTTCCTTATTCGAAATAGCCAGCTAACACACAGCGACCGTGTCAAGATGCAGTTTGGAATGCATCAAGAGATACCTTGCAATCCAACTTGTTTGTCCCTGTGGCATCTCAAAAGGATCGACGCTCAATGGGGTCTTACCAACTAGAAAGATTTTGCTCCAGAATGGTGTAAGATATGGCAGAGGCGTCACCGACATGTCTTACAATTCCCAGTTTTCCTCAACCATGGTAATATGCGACGCACGAATCAATATTTAGCTTGGTACAGATCGGTTAGTACCCCATAAATGCACGTGTCTCATCCAAGGTATTTGGTTGACCCACGAACACAATGAGCACAACCCTAATTACCCCAACAAAAAACCTAACACACATCAACCTCCCCGACGAAACAGAACCACAAACACCAACCACAATCACCACCACAATACGATAACACCCACATGTCTCATAACCAACCACAATCACCACCTCAATACCAATACCCCCATATGCCCAACACTCAACCACAATTTCAATCACAATACCAATACACCCGCATGCCCCCCACACAATTCCAGTCTTCTACATATCACAATATGGGCCCCTCAACATCAAACCTTAGCCCTGATATGGGATTTTCCGAAGATTATGAACCAATCGACCCAACTTACCATCAACCACCACATCACCAAAGCACCCAACATTCCCAATAACAAACACTCCAGGATCCATTTTCTTTCTAACCCCCGTACTCAGACGACCAGTGCTATAGACCAACCATGGAACCCCACCTACCACCAATATGACCAAATTTTGAGAGTATGGGTAATCGACTGTACCAAAGCGGATCTTCTAGATATGGAGATTTGATCGATTTCATGGATCCAGAACGCATTGACTTCGTTGGGCCATCGACTCTGCCATAACAGGAAACGCGATGGAACCCACCATGGGAAAGGCAAGGACGGGGATGCGGAACCGCAGGTCGTTATCGGGTTCCAAGGGACCACTGGTTTTTTTGTATTTTTTATGTAATCGTTTTGTGTAATCATATTGTGTAAATAAAAAGTCGAATTTTCGTGATCCTATATCGTTTACGTAACGTCCTGCATTTAAAATAAAAAACGCGAAAAATCGCCTCTCCATTGCACTAAGGCGCCATCTCACTTGGCTTAGGGCACAAATTTAACACCTAGGCACCAAGCGAGATAGTGCTTTCCCTTTAAAATAAGGTATATGCGCCAATTGAGATGACTCATCCCTTGTGAAGTTTTCTGAAACATGATTATTTGCGTAATTTTTTCTGAAACATGGTTATTTTCAGTTTATCAATAAATAAATATTATAGATTATAAATTATAGTTAAAAATTAATTTTATAATTTTTAAGATTAAAATATCAAATAAAATTCAATAGTGTGATAATTGCCAAAAAAAAAAAAAGGTATGTGTTTATATAAATATATACGTAACATGTGAATTAAAATTACAAAAAATTATTTGACCTAGTGGTAAACTTGTGCTTCTTGTAACGTAAGGGAGGTGAATTTGAATCTTGATTAATGCAATTTTTCCGAATGTCTTTGAAAATTTAATTAAAATAAGATTAAAATAATTGAATATTAAAATGAATATTAGGTGGATTATAAAAATAATTCAAAATAAAAAACTATAAATACACATCAGCATAAAAAAAAAGTTCCAAGTGTCATTTAAAAAAACAAAAAAATTAAAAAACGTCACTCATTGTGACATGTATGCATTAGGCATGAGTCATTTTCCTCTAAGATTTAAAAGAACATACTTTTTAAATGATAAGATTGGTTTTAAAAAAAAAAATTTATAAGAGAAAAAACAAAAGTCGCCTATACGACATATGACATAAATATTACTTCTTCGGTCTCATAATAGGTGTCATTTTTCTTATTTTTATTTGTCTCAAATTATTTCTATTTAAAATATCAATGTGATATATATTATTTCTTTCCACTAATTTATTCTTATTTATTTTATTTTAATTCATTAACTACTCTACTACTTATTATTTATAAAATTATTTTAGTAAATGAGATATATTTTATCATTCAAATTAATATAATTAATCACTATTTAAAAAATGTAAAAATCTCAAAAAAGATACCAATTATAAGACGAAAACAGTATTAGCCCTTTTATAAAAATTACAATTCCAACCAAAAACTCACACTTTTAAGATTGTTTTATTATTTTTAAGACTTAATATAAGAATGATATGAGTTTTATGAATTCATGATTCAATTAATTATGACGTTACATTTTAGTATTAGATCATGTGCTGAACCAAGTCATGTCATTAGGGGTAACAAAATAGATCCGGTTCATTTGCTTGATCCGTTTGATTTGTCATATCTGACAGATCGATCAAATATTTTTGTCCCGGTGTCTTATGTTGCTCCGCCCATCTAACCCGTTTTAAAATGAGGGAGATGAGGGTTTTGCCCACACATTTTTTGTTAAATTTATTTAATTTAGAATGAAAATTAATTACGGCATTGAAGAAGTCAACCCACTAATTTTCTCCCTCTTTATTTATAAAAAATGAGAATTTAAATACGTACAGCTAGCGTCACAATGATTTGGAAAATTAATTTTCATGTTAAACTCAAACGTTTAAGTTGATACATTTCGTTTTACCCTATTTTTAAACAAACTTAAACCATCCGCTTTGAGATGATGATTCTCTACATTCAATTTCAACGCATTCACGCGTTTGAAATATTAATATTTGTTAAATCATGATTGAACAATTAAGATTCAAATATGATATTTTAAATTATAAAATAACAGTTTATTTATTTATTTTTCTTCTGAATACATCAAAATTAAACTCTAATAATAATAATAATAATAAATCAATAATGTGACATTACGATGATTAAGAATTCAAAAAGAGGATTGGAAACAGGTTCGGAACGCCGTTAGTAGCACATAATTCAAATTGACGATATCGTTTTGAGTTTCCCTCCCTCCGTTTAATCGCAGACATCAAATGGAAGGTACTGCCGTCTTCCCCGACCCCGATTTACACCCTCCCGGCGACCTTTCTGAAACTGGAGGTACCATCTTTCTTTCTTCATTCTCCTCGCACTTCATTTCCGTTCCTAAACCCTAGAATTTTCTCACCCCTCTTCTCTCACTACAATTAGGGTTTTCCTGTTCTTTTCGTGAGTTCCACTTCTTTGCGAACTCTGAGTTAAGCACTGTTTGATGGTGGAAAGTTATAGTTCACCTTCAAATATGTGATTTCGTAGCTATTAGATCTAACTGAGGTTCCAAATTCCTAATCATATTCTATATGCAAAAGTTTAGGTTATTTTTGGGGTTCAAATGGGTTGCATTTGCTTGCAGGTCAGAAAGCGAAAAGAGGATTATTTTTGAAGGGAGATTCTGTTTCTGTTGGTGTTGGAGCTGCTCCGAAGAAAATTCTGACTGATATAACCAACATGGACCAACAACTACTACCAAAGCACCAACCTGCAACTGATGTCTCTGTTGAACTGATTCTCAAGGTATATATATACATATAATGTTACAGTATTTTTATTGTTATCGATTGATGATTATCACTACATTCATGGATATTTTGAATTTCCTTCCCAGGAAAACACGACGATGAGGAAGCTCCTAGCTCAGAGAAAGTAATTTTTATGTTAATCTGGTGTCTACTTTTCTGTATTTTTCTCTGTAATCAATGTAATTACCGTGGTAATGGTTTTTGTTTACTCTGGTTTGTTTCACTTTTATGGACAGTGCGTTAATAGAATCATATAAAGTAGAGTATCAAAAGTATCAAACCAATTTTCAGAAACTTCGCAGGCAAAATTCAGAACTTGCACTTGCAAATACTCAAATGACACAGGTATTGACTATTGTTTATTTTGATTTGTTGATATTATTGATTGATTGTCGATATTCACATTTGCGATTTCTGATTTGTATTGTTTTAATCTATCTATATGCAATGCAGGAGATTAATTCAAGCAGACAGATGGTGAGTCTTGAACACCTTTGGTGCATTGACACCTGCTGCTTTCGTTTCTTATTCTTTTGCTTTGTTTAGTGCCGTTCAATTTGCTGTTGTCCAGGTGAGGGAACTTCAACTTGAATTAGTAGGCAAAAATGCTACACTCGATATTATGAGATTAAAATTGATGGTCAGTTTAACTCATCTCCAATCTGATGAATTGTAAATGAGCGATTCAGAGAGCCCTACTTTAGTTTTTGACTCTTACATCTTTCTTTTCGTAGGAAAATGATTGCAAAGCAAAACTGAATAATGACATTGATGCAGATGAGGTACTTATATATATTTTCCTTCGTTGGCTTCTTGTACTTGTTTATCTTTCTTTCCATTCCAGCTCCCTTGCACTTCATCAATTTGTCCTTTTCTTTGTGTAAGCAGTCAGATCTAAAGTTTCAAGAAGATAACAAGGGGGAAGCAAAAAGGAAGAGAGTATCCAGATGTCAATGTAATTAGTATACTGAACCCACTCTGTGTATACAAAATTTCTTGTAGATATCTTTTAAGTAGGTATTTCTCTCATGCAGCTATTGCACCTGATGTTGTTAAACAAGTCAAATCAATAGAAAAGGTTGAAACACAGAGGTATGGATTTAAGTTTACCTTCTATGCATGACTAATGTCTGAAATCCAATGTTGGACCCTGGGATACTTAGGAACAAGGCGACTTACATGTCTCCCTCAAATATGCAAACAGGCATTCTGCAAAACGGAAATCTGCAGGGTTGAAAGCTGGAAAATCACGACCAACAGAAGACTTACATGAAATAAAATATGATGTCTCGCAGCCACTAGAAGAAACTCTGGCAAATGAGAATGAATCAACATCATTAGGATCCAATGATGTAGCGAGACAAGTTACTGAATGTAATTGTTGCTATTTTTCTCTTTTTTCTTCATCTTTTTCTTTTGTTATCTGTCCTTAAACATACTTTTTGCTTGCAGCTTTGGGACCTACTAACACTCAACAAGTTCTTGCCAAAAGGAATATTGAAAATAAGCGGTATGCTATTCTAAACATCCACATTCTGACTGGATTTGAATGACTGAAATTGTAATATGTGATTAAATTAGATAAGTCAGTTACATGTCTTCCCTCAATATTTACAGGCGTAGTTTGAGAAGGCAATCTGCCCTGTTCAAACATGTGAATCCAGAACCAACTGAAGACTTCTTTGATATAGACGATCCAAAATTTGAAGTCTCCAATTTATGTGATAACTCGTCAGAAAGTCTTCCCGCAGCATCAAGTGGCACTTCAGAAAACTGTACACTTGATCCTCGTGAAAGAAGATCATCTATTAGCCGGCCTTCACGTCGATCAGCTCTGAAGGTTGTTTCCTACAAGGAGGTTCCACTTAATGTGAAGATGCGTAGAGATAATTGAGTCAGTTTATAAAGTTTTGACTGTATTGTCAAATGTAGAGAAGAATGAAATGGAAATCCAAAAAGTCTGATGATATGTCCTACTTCCTTGATGCCATAGTGCATGGTGGTAGGGATTATTTTGATTTGCTGAATAGTTTATTGTTTAGGACTCTGCATATTTGAAACTGATGTTTTATTATAGGCAATTTTATATGATAATATTTGACCCACTTCCATCATTCTATCAAATGGGAGACCTAGATATAGAAACTATGATGCGTCTCAGTGATGAGTGAGAATTGAGGGGCAACTGAATGTTTTTTTATGTCCATCTCCTCCTCCTCCTTCCTCGTCACAGTGTAATTTGAAGTTACGGTGCTGAGTGCTGACGTGGTTCTCAGTTTTTCAAATGCAAATGGAGTTCACAGCAAAAAAGAAGGTAGACGAATTGTAACTGCAAACTTTCTTGTGCTTGAACTTGATTTTGTGAAAATTGATTTTGTTGAAAAGTGATAATGTATGCTGTGAATCCAGTTATTTATGTTTACTAATTTTTTATCTTGAAATAAATTTTATTTAAGGCAAACGTTCTGAGGTTTTTTGGTCACTCTAAATCATAATTGAATTTAACTCTAAACCTTATTAATCACGAGTGTAATCAGTTATTTTTTTTCTTATAATTGAGTTTATGTAAAGGTAGATTTTAACAAGTGATTGAAGTTTAGATTTTAACATAAGAGATTATCTTTTAAGAGAGAAGATTATAATTATCTCCGGTATGTTTTGCATATTAGTGAAAGAAAGTGTATATTTTGCTTTAAGAGTGTACTTGTTAAAAGTGCGATAAAAGTGGTCGCCTTGATCTTGAAGGATTTTGCCGTGCTTAGAATAAATGGAATTGTAGGGAGTTTGCTTACGTAGAGTTTGTGAGAGATTTTTCTATGCCTTTTTGAGAAAATTGGTGAACCCTTTCTCCAATATGGGATCGAGACTTTTATAGAAGATCCTCTGAGCCTGAGCTAGAATGCTAGGAAACGGTTACATTGTTCCATTCTCGGAGGATAATTTTTTTTTTTATTTGGATGTTTTCTTGCCGGCCCTTGACAAAATATCCACAATATTTTTAGATTTCGGATTTTTTTTTTATTTGGATGTTTTCTTGCCGGCCCTTGACAAAATATCCACAATATTTTTAGATTTCGGATGTGTATATTCAAATTCATCTTATTTGTCAAGATATGTGCATTCGTATGTGCATATCAGAAATCACCACGATTTATTTTTTATTTAATTGACTTCACATATGTATATTCGTAGCCACTTGATTGTCTATTTCGGATATGCATATCCGAATTTATCTCTGGGACAGAAGAATCAACATAATTCATAACATAGATTCAACATAATTTATCGAAATTATATATATAATTCTATAGAAATTTAAAATTACATTGTTATAAACAGGTAGTTGAGAATGTTGCAACATTTTGATAATATTTTCTCTCGGTCTTTGAAGCTTCGCATCCACCTCAATCGAACCCTTAGAAGAGTATCGTTGAAAAATATCTCACATAATCTCTAAATCGCCGTCGTTCTTGAATTCAAACGGGGTGAACTTTATGTTTCCTTCAGTGTCAAGTGAAGGTGAACGATATTCAAGTTTGACCACCTTTTGATTCTCTAGATATTGCAAGAGAGAATTTAGTATGGTAATAAGCTCGACGACCAACGTGTCCTGCGAGAATCTGAATTGAAGTGGCGACTTTGCACCACTGAAATAGACAAAAGCAAGATGAGGATATGTTTTAGTCATTTCTGGTTGTGGTTTGTGATGTTGATGAAATGGTTTGGAGACCCTATTTATAGATTTTATGGAGTAATTTGGACCCAAGAAATATTTTCTACTGCATCTGCATAATTCGGAAATACACATCCGAAGGAACCTTATATTTTTTATAAAAAAAAACACATCAGGGCTTATTTCGCATATGCACATCCGAAACCACCTCTATGTTATTTTTTAATAGCAGGTTGATTCAGATGTGCAAATGCGAAATAAGTCCTGACGTGTTTAAAAAAAATACAAGGTTCCTTCGGATGTGCATTTTCAAATTATGCAAATGCAATAGATAATGTTATGGCAGAATCAGTAGAATAGAAACATAAATAAATAAAATCGGTAACACTAAACAATAGTAAAATGAAATATAAATATATTATATATGTATTGAATCGTATGGATTTTACATTGTACACAATAATACATTCAAAAAATGATTCGATTATATTCTAAAATGTACCAAATAAATTCTCACCACTTAAATCTAAAATCGGATCTTTCTTTGACTTCTCCCTATTTGCTTCTCTCTCAAGCTCCATCAATTTGGTGAACTCTTCCATCCTTTTCAAAAAGTGATCCGACTAATTTTCCGCCTCTTTTGCAGAATGTGTCGTCCACTCCGCTGATGTAGCATGAATAGGAAACTCCGGTTTCAAATAAACCTGAACAAAATAGTGTGATCTATGATACCCAATACACATGATGCGGCCAGATGGACCTTTAGGCGGGGGACTCCGAAGTGGAAAAAATATTTTCAAAAAACCATATCTCGTTAAATCGATGCACTCTCTCATATGCACTTGCTATAAGATGACCCATTTTAGGGAAGCTCATCCACTTTTCAACTGGTGTGCGAATGCTAATACTTAGAACAAGAGCATTGTGAACTTTATTGAATGCTTCCTTAGTCACATATAGTCGTTTGTAAATTTCTCTATGCACTGTCAACTTAGAAATAAGTGTTTGGTGTATAAGAGTGTGACATTGTGACGTTGTTTTCTTTCTCACATTCCAAAAAACCAAATCCAACCGAAAATGTCTTGTCCGTAGAGGTGACACCAACAATTTCTAGAAGCGGAAGCTTATACTTGTTGGTCCGTAGATGTTGGAAATGTGTTAAACAATTTGATACTTTCTGGATGAGTCCAAAATATGTCACAAATACTGACATTGTCCTCACAAACGTTGTACTTGAAAACATAGTAGTTATCGTCCGAAAGTTTCAAAAGATGTTGCATTTTGGACCTTGGACCTCTTTGTGCAATGTGTTGTTTATAACTTTCATTGTAATCCGACTTGATATTTGAAACACCTTTTGGTCTTTTTCATTTCAAATCGCCGAGTATGTTTCTCGGTGCAACTTTGATTAACGACAATTCTGAAATAAATTCCTTCTCTTCCGGCTTAAGTCGACATACAATTGGATGCCCTTGTAGCTTGGTGTCCAACGCATGATTATGCATATCAGAAATGACACTAAACCTTCACGAACCATCCACCCACACGAACCACACAATTTAAATAAACATTCACATTTTCTCAATCCCGTGTCATCATGTTTTAACTTACGAATTTTCGGAACATATTTCCCACTTCTCTCACATGTCATCACAAGTTCACAACAAATACTTGCCTTCTACTAGTATCATTGTCAGACCTTTCAATCACAACACCAAATCCAAGTTTGCTAGCTTCTATTCGAACCCAGTCAAACATATGTTGACGAGAGGTGAAACTTTTATCATTTGTAAATGGTTGTCCAACATCTATCACGACATCAACCATTTTATCAAAGTCCTTCATCTCATTCGACTTAGCATCTTCATTTACCTTCTTCGAAACCTTTACGACAACTTTGGGAATATTTTCGGGGTACACCATACCTAACACGGGTAAAAAAACATAAATTCTGTTAATTTTTTCCTATTACTGTAATAAACATGTTTTCGGATATGCACATAAGAATTATGGTAAGTAGAATCTGGATATGCATATCCGAAGTGACACTGCTTTTTTCATCCACAAATCAGCATCAATGCAATGAATGTGAGATGAAATGAGGAAAGTTTACCTCAAATTGCATCTTTCTATGCTCTCTTTGCTATGCTGAAACACTTGAAACTTGGTTTGGAGACAAAAAATTGATTGATAATGCTTGAAGTTTTATTGAGGGTTTTGGTTATGGGGGGAAAGAAAATTAATGAGATAGTGGTAGGGGTGACTATGCAGTAATCTAATATGGAAAGGGTAGTTTCGTATATGCATATCCAAAACTACCTCTAGAATTTTAAATCCAACTTTTAAGTATTAAAACCTGGTAAAAGGGTGACTTTAGATGTGTATATCCGAAACAACCTAAAAGATGCGTTCAAATATTACACATCCGAAGAGTTTTTTCGGGTTTTCAGAGGTTTAACTCAACATATAGAGGCGGAGAAAGAAACTATGCTCTCGGAGACCTAGGCGTGGGAGAAACAGTTTTCCCCTCCACTAACATTCCTCGATTGTTTATCCCAAGCCGCCAAAGAAGAGAATTTATTTCCCCACCTCTATGTTTTCTTGGATACCCCTGGCGAAAAACTCAAAATACCCCAGACTTCGGATATGCATATCCGAACTCACCGTATTTGTCAAGAATAGGTGGGTTCACATGTGCATATCTAAACTCATTTTATTTTGTCAAGAAAAGGTGATTTCACATGTGCATATCTGAATCAACCCATAATTTAATACTTCGGATGTGCATATCCGAAGTCATTTAATTATTGAGAATTACCGATGAAGAGTGTGATGCGGTGGGAGAACTGACTTGGGTGTTTTGCGTTTTATCGCAAATGTTGCGGTTAGCAAGAGTCGCCACCGAATTTTCTTTTATCCAAAAGGAAAGGTGAAAAAGCACAGGAAAGACCTTTGAGATTGTTTCTTGAGTTTGGAGGATAGATTATGAAAAGGGAAGGTATTAACATCCTTTTCATCCATGGTTTTCCATGGGCTCTTAGTTACTTTCTAAATCACTTGATTTTGTTTAAAAATGTGCTTTGTGTGGTTTTTGAAAGTATTTTGAAAAGGCGCCATCGCTTAGGAAAACTTTGTAATGATTCTCGTTCGTAAGAATGTATACAAAGTGTTGATCTTTTTGAAAATGTTTTCAAGTTTGAAAGGTATTTTTGAAAGTATTT